CTAACCAGCTCACCAGCCCTGATAGCTTGTTTCCTTCTTTGGTTACTCTTTATTCATTGAACAGATTCAGAGTGTATTATGCTAAAGGAGACCAAACTAAAGAGTTGAAAATAAAGACTTTTGCATTTCTTATTGTCTCTCACTGTATTTATTATGACCATGCACCAAAACACTGAGGAGAATTCCTCGTGATCTGATTTACACCACTCAGCATATTTACAGACACCCGATCTGCGGTCACTGTTGACACCTTTCAAAAGCAGCCAAAGTTCCACTTATTTTAACTGCCATTGGTTTAGTGTTTATTTTGTGTGTATGTTTTTAAATTTTTAATTTTACTGTTTGTATATCTTATATGATTTATTCACGAGAAGCCCTTTGTGTTCAATGTCTGTCACAGTTTGAAACCCCTGAGCACTTTTGTTGTTACTTCATTCTTCAGATATACAGGATGCAGATGCAGGAGAAGCGTTGTTTAAAGAAACGTGTGCTATGTAAAGCTCTGAACTGAGAGTGTTTGTTTACATATTGGGCAGCGTTTCAAGGATCTGTTGACCATTCAGCAGCAGCCTGAAATAAAACTGTCTGGTTAGTTACTTAGTTGATGGCAAGTTTTCAATCCTAGTTTACAGAGCCTCTCGGTGGTGAACGCAGTAGCAGATGTGGAGCTGTATTTATAGCAGCTTCTTAGATCAGCAACTTATTGTAAGTTGTGTGTGTGTGTGTGTGTGTGTGTGTGTGTGTGTGTGTGTGTGTGTGTGTGTGTGTGTGTGTGTGTGTGTGTGTGTGTGTGTGTTGTAACCAGATCTCAGAGGACAGAATTAAGACGACCCTGTCAACACACCCTCGATCACACACACACATACCAACCCACATCTCAAGTTCTCCCTGATCATACAGGGAACATGTCCGACTGCAAACTTAATATGACTCAGTTTTCAGTGTGTCGTACATTCAGATAGTAAAAATGACAGAATGAAGTGTCGTTAAAAAATACAAGAATGCAGAATAAAGCTCCCTGGATATTTGAGCGGGTGTTTATGCGCCCTGACACACTGACTCTGGAAAAAGTAGGTCAAGATGGGATTTGGAAAGGCATCACAAATCATCGGTATTGTTTTATTATTGAGAATTTATTCACATTTCCATCTGAGTGAATTCGACCAAACTCTTTAAACTGTCAACCACACATGCTCGTAGGGTCACATACTATATGCTTACCCCCTCTTGAAAACCCTATAAACTTTAGTACACCATACACATTAAAGCTGGGAGTGCACTCAGTACAGAGTAACTGTATGTTCTCTACTGTTTTGGTTCTCAAATGATATAATACAACCTGGCAATCAAATTGTTCTTTTGAATACTGTTGATAAAAACCATGACATAGTAGGTTGATGACAAATGTTCTGCCTCACAATGGCATCTTTAATTTTGTATTTTTCTAAATAGATCTGAGTTCAAATGTAGTTTAAAAGCTTCTTCATTGTGATACATTGTTGATGGGGTGTAACTCATTGCAAAGTTACTCAAATGACTCAGTGACTTATGACAGTAACGAGTGCCCTAATGCCGGATTTAATTTATTTGCTTGACTAAATTACCGTTACTTAAGGGCTTGTTAGATCAAATTTTATGTCGCAAATGCTCTGGTAAATCCACGACCAGCAGGCAGCTTTGGTTAAGCTTAACCCTCTCTATGCCACTCTGTCTCTTTTTCAATTTCAGGATGCAATACACAGAAAGAAAGTCGGCTGAAAATATTACCAACATTTAAAGAATAATACAAAATATATATACAGTTCATTAATTACATTGCATTGCATTTAGCTGACGCTTTTATCCAAAGCGACTTACAATAAGTGCATTCGACCAGGAAGATACAAACTTGAAGAAAACCGAATCATATAATATATATAATATATATCAGGTTTCATAGAGCCAAAACATTTCAAGTGCTACTCAACTGGCTTTAGATAAGCCAGTCCTTTATTAGTATAAAAGTGCTTTGTTTAGAAATTCTTTGTTAGTAATTCTATCGCTCGAAGTGGAGTCGAAAGAGATGAGTTTTCAGTCTGCGCCGGAAGATTTGTAGGCTTTCTGCTGTCCTGATTTCAATGGGGAGCTCATTCCACCATTTTGGAGCCAGGATAGCAAACCGACGTGTTTTTGCTGATGGGAACTTGGGTCCCCCTCGCAGTGCGGGTGCACGTGCTGGGGTGTGTGGTTTAGTACGCTAGTACCAATGTCTTGAAGTGGATTCTAGCAGTTACTGGAAGCCAGTGAAGTGAGCGGAGTAGCGGCGTGGTGTGGGGAATATGTTGGAAGGTTGAAGACCAGACGAGCCGCTGCATTCTGGATGAGCTGCAGAGGTCGGATGGCACATGCAGGTAGACCAGCCAGGAGGGAGTTGCAGTAGTCTAGGCGTGAGATGACGAGAGCCTGGACCAGAACCTGCGTCGCTTTCTGGGTTAGCTGGGGACGTATCCTCCTGATGTTGTAAAGCGTGTATCTGCAGCAGCGGGCTGTAGCAGCGATGTTTGCAGTGAAGGACAGTTTGTTATCTAGGGTCACACCCAGATTCCTTGCAGTCTGAGTCGGGGAATATACATCTAAATACATATATAAACATGAGGATTGTGTGTTAAAGTTACAGTAAATGATGATATATTATTGAATGAAATGAGATCAGTGTTTTTTTCTTTTAAACACCTTGAATTTTAATGGGGGGGGGCGCGGGGCTCCGTTGGCGGGGTGCAGCGCCCCTCCAAGACAATGGTAGGGGAAATACTGGAGATGTATAGATAAATAAAAATTAAGTACCATAATTGAATATGAAAAAAGAGGATTGTGTTGATTCAATAGCAGTGAATGACATGATGCTCACACATAGAATCATTTACACCTGTTTCTTAGGCTTAATGATGTAGATTGCGATTGCTCTATGGTGCACTAATGCAGATTTCTTTATTTCTCAGGGACAACTAACATTGATGAACACTGTAAATGTGCCAGTGTAATTTTCAAATGTTGTTTGTTCACCCTTATTTTAAATAGTCCATCAAAAACACGAACAGAACGGAACAAAACGCGAATAAGAGTCGAGCAGCATCTTGCAAAATAGGACATTTAAAAATCCATTAATAAAAAACAAAGTTAGGGCCCCAGTCCTCATAGCTAGCTCACAAATGAGGGCTGAGCATGCATCATTGTCAGCTTTTCAACTTTGATTTACACCCGTGTATTTTGCAACATGATATAGTGCTGTGCGTGTATGTGACTCTACTTTCTCATTAAAGGGGAGTGACAGCGATCCAACGGTGATACGCCGTGATTCACACACAGCTTTGTTTTTTATGCCAATCAAAACATTTTTAACTGATGTGTATCAGATGTGTTGAGATATTGACTCAGATCCCATCTTTTTCATTCCAGCTCACATGCAACATCATTCCAACAAGCTGTTTATTTAAGATATGTAGGCTACCTTGATTTATTTGCACTTTCTGCATTTCAGCAAAGGGTGAGTTTCCTGCTTTTAGTAGACATCTATGCTCGGAGGACAGCTGTGAAAAGACTCTCAGCATGTTACGATAATATATCAGTCCAACCTGTTAAAATGATATACAGATGCTGAAAATAAAAACTCAATGAGCTTCATTTCATTCAGTTTACTCGGGCAAAGGCTGCACAAACACTGGAGCATCCTTTCAAAGGGAAAGATAACTATTATGCTTTTTTGGGGTTTTCCCTCTTCTGTAGTGTGTTCTATGTTTGTGTCTGAAAAGGCTAATCGCTGTGTTTCTCTCCAAACACGCCTGCCTGAAACGCCTCAATTGAACTCCTTTGTTTACTTCCATGACACAGAAATAATTATGTTTGAGTGTTTATTTCAGTTACCTGTCTGTAAAACTTCATGTGTACTCCTCTGTTTGAAAGAAATTGTTTTGATAAGGAAGCAGACCAGACCACAACAATTTATAAAAAAAAAGATCACTTTGGTCTGGATCCAACTACAGGTGTGAAAGCACTATACTCTGATAACACACACACAGGGAGCCCTCAAAAACGTATTCTTGAAACCTTATTGAAAACAAAACCCAGCTTACTGTGGATTCTGATTCTTAAAACAGATGTTGTCACAGTTTGTTAATGGACTTTTTTATTTTTGCAAACTAAATTCACCTTTTAACAGTTGGAGTGGAAGCAGAAATCTCCAAACTTGGCCGAATAACATCTGAATTTTTTCTTTTTTTTCTTTCCGTTAACTGTCAAGTGGGAAATAAGTATTTCTTGTGTTTCTCTTATTATCCTAAGATACTGTTATGTTTGGCTGTGAATAAGTTTGGCTGTGAAAAAGAAATAAGAAGGAGAGACCATCAATTTCTAAGGGGCAGTTCATATAAGATTATGTTCTTCTCCCAGCTCAATGGTGTGTTAATAGAGACATGTTTTGTTAACAATTATTATACATTAAGTTTTGCATACCATGAACGGTACAAATAAAAATGAAATGAAGCTACCTGAGAAAGTGTGTTTTCTTTCCTTTTTTACAATTGATATCACCTGAACTATTTTATTTTAAACAATACTATACTTTCTCAAGCTTTCTCAAATGTTAACGGATCAGTTTTCGTGTTCAAAAAGCAGGAAGTGAAATCATGCCGAGGGACAGATGCACTAGATGCCGTGTATTTGCAAATTGCATTACATCCAAAAGGTAATTGGTCAGAGAGACTAAGAACAGCGTACTTTTTTTCAGTTTAGAACTCAATTTGGGATTTCAAATTGGATTGGCACCGGGGTCGACTTCCTGCTCGGGATGGTGCAACGTACGTGCGGTAAGAAATGCCCTCGAGTGAATGATGCGTGTTCCTCCCTCATCTCAAATCTCTGCAGCAGACCAACAGGAACCCTGCAGGCACATTAACAGCAAACAGACAGCAGAACAATGAGTTGTAATCTCACTTTATTTAATAACCTAGACCCCCCTCCCACCACCACCACCAACGGTTATTGCATAAAAAGAAATACAAAAATCAGCCACTCAGCGAAATGAGGAAAATAAACGTACAAACTGCGTGTCTCCTCGTCCAAAGCTGTACCACATTTGATTGGATATTACACACATTTTTAACACTGACATGGCTCTGTTGTTTCAAAGTGAAAAACATATATGGTTTATTAGTGACATTTAAAAAGAATAGACAAGACAATGCACCGTACATTCAAAGCAAGTGGTTAACAAAGAGAACATAATCATATAAATAACACTGGATACAAGTACACTGTATATATAAATCAGGGCTGAAAGGTCAATGCATAGCAAGGCTCCTTAGTACCACCGCTGTACTGCTAACGTACACTACTTTGCTTTAAATGGAGAATTGCACTGAGCAGAGGGGCGTCGCACTTTAACCGTACTGTGACGCAAAAACAGGAACGTTATAGGAGCTCGAGAGGCAGACTGACTTAAATCGCTTTGTTCCGAGCGTGATCAATCGAACTTTGTTGACTTTTCCTCACAACCACAAGTGTGCTCACGTCTTGAGTTAATACGCTGTTGTGCAGTAACATAAGTGTTTACGATGTGGCTTCATAAATCAACTGGTACTCGGTTGCATCTTTCGGTAACAAGAGCAGGAGAGATTTATGATTTATGATGCGTCATCGCCGCCTGGAACAGCCTTAAATGACACGAGTAGCTGTCGATGGATGCGATGTCAATCTTTGGGTATTTCACGATTCAAAAGAAAAAAATATTGATTCGGTTCATACGGTAGAGGGTTAGGGCCACATGTGACATTAATTTTGAGAGCTGACAAAAGTGAATTTTTCTCAGAACTCCAAAAAGATATTCACTTTTGTTCAGATCTCAAAGAAATGTCACATGTAGCATTAATCCTCTTCAGTATGTTAGTAACTTCAGTCTGCGGTGCAATGACACACGTGAAGAATGATGGGATGAAAGCAGAGTTACGTGTTGAAAATTATGGAGCTTTTACATTTGAAAAAGTTGTATCAAATAATCCTGATAGTATCAACAGACAATGGCCAACATGCAGTATGTTTATGCTTAACGTGGACATATTCTACTCTATACGTTTTCTTAATTTCCCGTGACTTCAAGAATAACTATTTCCGTCAAAAATGATGGCAGAGGTAACAGCCACACATATAATCTAATTCTGTCGCAAACACTTACTGTTCTTAGAAACAAACCTCTTTTAATAATCGATTATAGGAATATGTGAACCGCAGTATCTTCAAAGGCAAGCCTCTGGATTCTTACCCAAAATCAATTCATCCCAGCTCTCCTAACGTTGAGTCATTTTGATTTAGTGTGATCACAAGAATGAATGCTGGAGGAAGTGAATACTAAGGCTACTAAAAACACTCAAATGCGGAACAACCCAACGCTATTGAAAAAGTGACTGCTGTGGAACGGGATGAATGTGAAGATCTGTTTTCTGCAAATGTGCTGTGAAGATTCCTTCTGTAAAGTGGAAGAAACATGAGGAACACATGATGAGGCCTGAGGCCGAGGGTGAGCGTGCGTAATTGTGGACCGTCACATAAAATCAGTGACTCCAAAAATGATGTGTGTGTGGGGTAGAAGAGCAGAAAACTACATATTTACAGTGGCTGTCATGTCTCAAATATGGCGGACAGCTGTTGAGATGAGAGGGCTAATGTGACAAAGAGAGTGAGATAATAGTCTTTTAGCTGCCATGAAAATTACATTGAGTGGAAAGGCAGCTGTGAGGATTGATGGGGTAGTGGCAGGAAGCGCGAGATCAATGCAGATTAGTTTTGTGCAAGAGAAAATACTCTGGGTGTTGATGCAGTGTTATTCTGAGGCACAGTTATCATCCTGCCACGAGGAAATCTGGCAACACGTCATTTCCTATAATTGTTCGTGATACAATCATTCTGTTTTTAAAAACAATAACTCGTAGGATTGAGTCACATCTTAACAAAAAGAAAAATCCAGTGATAAACAACTCTTATTTATAACGACGGCAGATATGTGGAATCACGTTCAGGTGAAGCTCACATTAGCATCTACGTCTGCTTTTAAATAGATGATCCCAACTTGTGCTTATTGTTACGTAAGATTCGTGTGCAGATTTCCCTTCTTCACATGATTAGTGTCAAATCAAACATGCGGAGCAGCCTGCAAGCGAGTGAGTAAATCAAAAAGGGAATAATGACAATAAGAGTGGGAAATGCAGTCGTATCCCGGAGCCTCAAAGGAGCTCTATAAAAAAAGTAGTCCCAACTATAAATTACAACCGTGTCAATCACCACTTAATATGCGCTCAATCTCCTCCAGTCTCTTCAAGGCGGCTGCTCTTTTCCCCTCTATATCGGAAATCTCTTTCGTGGACTTACCCTTAGTCCGCTTGTCAGACTGGCTACTGTCCAGAGACTCTGATTGGTCGACGCCTTCACCTCCGAGGCGTTCTGTGGAGGATTTCCGCACATTCTTCTCATTCTCAGCCCCCTTCCCTACAGCATCAGCACCCCTCCCTTCCTCCTCACCCTCAGACACTTCCTCCTCCCTGTCCTCAACTCCCTTAAGGGGTTTTTCGTCCTGAGCAGACGTGGTTTCTCCCCGTGCTGTAAGTGGCTGCCCTGCGGAGCTCATGGCGGCCATCTTACTGCGAACAATACTCAAGTGGCGTTTCACGTACTCCTCGTTGGGTGCCAGAGCGAGCGTTTCCTCCAGGCAGCGTTCGGCACGCGGGAGGTCTCGCTCCTCGAAGTACACGACACACAAGTTGTGTTTGCCTTGCACGTTGGTGGGATCCACGCTTAGAATTCTCTCGAAGCAGGCTTTGGCGCCATTTGTGTCCTTCTTGTGGTTCATGAGGATGTCCCCCTTCAGGATGAGACCCTTGATGTGTTCAGGGTGGTGGCGCAGCAGCTCGTCCAACGCTGGCAGCGCGTCTACCTCTCGTTTGGACTGAGAGTAAAGCAACGCCAGGTTAAACAGGGCGCTGCGGAAGCCGGCCTGCAAACCAATCGCTCTCTTCATCCACCGCTCGGCTGCCACGTTTTCGTTGGCGTCCATGGCCAGCATGCCGAGGTTGAAGTAGCCGTTGGCGTCTTCGGGCTCTTCCTCCACGTAGATCAGGAAGCGACGGTTCGCCTCAGGCCGGAACTTTGGCTCACCTGCCGGAAAAAGCAGAGACGTAATGATAAGGTGGCATTCATTAACAGGGAGGGCAAAAGTACACACATCCTTTACTCAAGTAGAAGTACAGATACTCGTGTTTAAAAATACTCTGGTGAAAGTAGAAGTACTGACTAAAGTTCTTTACTCAAGTCAAAGTAAAGAGGCTTTGAAATGTACTTCAGTAAAAAGTACCCATAACTAGCAGCTGTTTTAAAGAGTACCTGACCTCCCTTTATATTAATAGAACAATAATGTCATTGTTAGCTAATGAATGTTTCCATGGTGACCAACGGCAACATGACAACGTTTTCATTGGTCCCTCTTCTTCGAATGCTTGAATCATTTTGAATATTCGATTCATAATTCCCATCCCTATGTCGTTGTTCTTTATAAACAGATATGGAGAGAACGGCAGCATCTCTTTAGCCGGGTTGAAGCTCCTCTTACAGAACGTGGGTTTGGATCGAAACCGGAGCATTACGGTGCAACATCACGAGAAACCCGGCCATCATCATCATCATCATCAGGAAGAAACCCCCCACCACCATAATCACCACCACCACCATCATCATCACCACAACAACAACAACTCCCACACACACAAGTCTCCAAAGACCTCGGAGGTGTCCAAAGATCAGGACAGTTTGCAGGACAGGAAGAGCGTCTCCTCGGCGGTGTTCAGCGCGCAAATGATGGTGAAATCGGACGAAAATCAGGAGACGAACGGGACTCCTGAAGAACGCGATCAAATAAACCAGAATACTCCCGACAACCACAGCGAGGACAGTGTGGAGGTAAGAGCTGTTACTACCACGATCAGTGTGGATTAGGGCTGTACCCAAATATTCGTTTGTTGGAGTTCTATACGGGTTTCAATTTCGTTCGTTTTGTTTGTTTTTTCCCCGTTTTCTTTTTTTCAAATTGAATTTCTTGAAATCTCCAATATCAACGTAAGAGCTTGTGCCTCTTCGGGGGGTGCTAACACTTAACCATAAACGTTATCGGTTCCTTTCTCCGTCTTTATATGTAGATATTACTTTTCTCCTTTAATCTCCGTCACGTTGTTTCCATAGCAACAACAACTTCCTGTCAACAGCGCTACCTCTCCTTCAAAATAAAAGCATGTCCATAAATAGGAAGCCAAGCCAAATTACACTTAAGACATATACAACTGCAACGACAGTAACAAACACAATGCGATATCCTTTTCAATTTCAAAGAACACAAATTGGGTTGTTAACAAATAACTATAAAACAACAATACTGTAGAATAACAAAATTAATGCTGTGAATACACCGAAATACACGTGTTGAAGCGGTTTGCTGGTGATTACT